AGAACTGGAAAGCTGCATGCAAATAAATGGAAGTTGATCACTAACTTATACCATACACAAAAATAAACTCAAGATGAATAAAAGACTTAAATATAAGTCATGACACCATAAAAGTCCTAGAGGAGAACATAGGCAGGAAAATCTCAGATATTCCACACAGCAATATTTTCACAGGTATGTCCCCTAGAGCAAGGGACAAAAAGGAAAGAATAAACAAATGGGGTCTCATCAAAATAAAAAGCTTTTGCATGGCTAATGAAAACAGCAGTAAAATGAAAAGAGAACCAACTGTATAGGAAGACATATTTGCTGATGATACCTTGGACAGGGTTTGATCTCCAAAATACATAAAGAACTCACACAAGTCCACTCCAGGAAGAAAAACAACCCAATTAAAAAATGAGCAAAAGACTTGAATAGACACCTCTCTAAGGAGGACATACGATGAGCCCAGAGACATATGAAAAGATGCTCAGCATCACTAGCTATCAAAGAGATGAAAATTGAAACCACAATGAGAGACCACTTCACACCAGTGAGAATGGCCATCATAAACAAATCAACAAACAAGTGTTGGAGAGGTTTTGGATATAAGGGAACTCTAGTGCACTGCTGGTGGGAATGCAGACTGGTGCAGCCACTGTGGAAAACAGTATGGAATTTCCTCAGAAAACTAAAAATGGAACTGTTGGTATTATAACACTGTTGGGATTATACCCTAAGGATCCTGAGACACCAATCCAAAAGAACCTATGCACCCCAATGTTCATAGCAGCACAATTTACAATAGCTAAGTGCTGGAAGCAACCTAAGTGCCCATCAGTAAATGAATGGATGAAAAACTATGGTACATTTACACAATGGAATACTATGCAACAGGAAGAAAGAAGGAGCTCCTACCCTTTGCAACAGCATGGATGGAACTGGAAAGCATTATGCTGAGTGAAATAAGCCGGGCGGTGAAAGACAAATACCATATGATCTCACCTTTAACAGAAACCTAAACAACAAAACAAACAAGCAAGAAAAATATGACCAAAGACACTGAAATACAGAACAGACTGACACGGACCAGAGGGGAGAGGGGAGAGAATCACAGGGGAAACTGGGAAGGATTCACAGGAAGAAGTATAAAGGACACACGGACAAAAACTTAGGTCGGGGGGGGGGAATGGGAGGGAGGTGGGGGAACATGGGCGGGGGGTGGGCAGGGTTGGGAGTATAAGACAAAACTGTACTTGAACAATAGTTAAATAAATCTAATTTTTTTAATGAAAAAAAAAAGAAAAATTCTCAAGATCAATAAATCCAGGAACTGGTTCTTTGAAAAGATAAACAAAATTGATGTACTTTTAACCACTCATCAAGAAAAAAAGAGGAAGGACCCAAATAAATAAAATCAGAGATGAGGGAGGAGAAGTTATAATTGATACCACAGAAATAGAAAGGATTGTAAGAAAATACTATGAACATCTATATACCAAGAAATAGGGACAACCTGGGCTAAATGGATACATTTTGAGAAACATACAATCTTCCAAAACTAAATCAGGAAGAAGCAGAAAGCATGAACAGAATGATAACAACTAAGGAAATTCAATCAATAATCAAAAAACTCATGAGAACAGATGGCCCATACCACAGATGGCCCATAGATTTCTGAAAAAAAAAAAATGCTCAACATCATTAGCCATCAGAGAGATGCAAATTAAAACCACAATGATGGGCGTGGGGGGAGGGGTGGAGAGATAATACAGACAACTGTAATTGAACAATAAAATAATTTAAATTAAAAAATAAATAAATAGATAAATAAAATCTTTTTTAAAAAGCTAAATAAATAAATAAATAATACAACCACAATGAGAAATCACTTCATCCCTGTCAAAATGGCTATCATTAATAAATCAACACACAACAAGTGCTAGCGAGGGTGCAGAGAAAAGGGAACCCTAGTTGGGTACTAAAGTGAAAATGCAACCACTATGGAAAACAGTATGGAATTTCCACAAAAAAATTAAAAATGGAATTGCCTTTTGACCCAGCCATTCCACTGCTAGAAATATACTCTAAGAATCCTGAAATACCAATTCAAACAAATACACATACCCCTATGTTCATGGCAGCCCTATTTACAACAGCTAAGACTTGGTAACAGCCTAAATGCCCACCAGAAGATGAGTGGATAAAAAAAGCTATGGTACATTTACACAATGGAATTCTACACAGCAGTAAAAAAGAACAAATTCTTACCTTCTACAACAGCATGGATGGAACTGGAGACTATTATACTAAGTGAAATAAGCCAGTGGGTGAAAGATAAATACCCTATGATCTCACCTATAAGTAGAATTTAATAAACAAACTTATGAGCAAAATGGAACCAGCAGCATAGAATCATGGAACAGGCTGACAGCTGCAAGAGGGGAAGGGAGAGGGGGCACTGGTTGAAAACAGGTGAAGGAATTAGTCAAAGAACATATATGCATGATCCATGGACATGGACAATGATATGAGGATTGACTGTGAGAGTGGGAGGGATGGGCTGGATGGAGGTGAGCAAAAGGGAAAAAATTCAGACAACTCTAACAGCATAAACAATAAAATATTTAAATGTAAAAAAATCAAAAAAGAAAATAAATAAAGAAAGAATATACCATTAACTGATCAAGAAGCAATTATGATATACTGCTACCAATATAAGTGAAATTCTGAAAATAATTGGGAGAGGTATTGAGGGGAGAGCAGAGGTGTGAAAAAGTGATTTCTTTCTGAGATTTTGGAGGCCCAGCTGTTTCATCCTATTCCCACATAAATACTTTACTGCAGATACCTCAAATATGCCACAGTTACACAAAATAAGTGGAACATCACCAAGTAGAGCTCCTAGAGTAGGTGTTCTGAACATGTTGGTAGAGAAAGTCACTTCATTTGAGAGGTCTCTGCCCCTTCAACCTCACCCTCCTTACCAATATACATTCATCACTGAAAAGGGAAATATTTACAAAAGTTAGTTTAGTTATGTTTAAATATTATGTTTAGCTGTCTGGAGACCATGTTCTCAAAATTTATACAAGAAATCAAGGATTAGACTTCATAACAATTAGAAAACCACACTGTATAAAATCAAAGACTTAGTTAAAGGACATTAAAATAGTTTTGCCATTGGTGCTAAATTGAAATGACTCCATCTCTTCCCAACACCTGGAACCAAAACCTCTTGAACTTTCATGTAAACACACCAGGGCACACCAAATTCTCTGTCTGCAGCAAGGTACCACCTCTGCGAAGGCATTTGGGTGAAAAATGTGGAAAATGCCTGAGGACTCTTTGAAGCAGCTTGGGAGAAGTGAGAGCAGGAAAGAGGCTCTTCACTATGGTAAGTTTGTTTAGTGGAAAGTAAGCAAGTTGTCAGGGTAAAAGTTGACAATGTTGATTCCAACAGTTTGAACTGTGAATAAACATCCAAAGGGATTATGTTACTGAGAATTAGGAAAGATTCCATTGAACTCAATAGAACACTTGTGTTTTCGAAGATAATATGCCTTTGATCCACACTCTGGAGCCACAGTTTAGGGTTAGAATTACCCTAAACCCTTTCTATGCCACATTAAAGAAAATGAGATCTGACCTCTCTAATATGTGCTTAAAATATTAAAATAAGGATGGAATAAAAATATTTTATTTCCAATAACTGATTTGGAAAACATTAAAAATATGTACATTTGTACATTTGAGGTACAGAAATCTGTTCTACCCAAGCATCTAAACTTAAACAGTTTCACTAACCAATTTAGGGAAACACATGCACTGGCTATAAATCACTTTTAAGTTTTCCCTCTTTAATGACCTATCAGAGAGCAAAAAATAGGGCCTACACTTATGAAATCCATAATCCTCTTTTTTGGTCACCAAAGCCACATTAAATATAGCTTTCATCTTATGGTGTTGGGTTTTCCACCAGGTACAAGATGAAAAGTTGAAAAAGACTCGTGCTTTTTAAAAAGCAAAACAATTTGGTTGCCACTCAGCAATTCCTGGTAAAATGCCAAGAAGCCTGTAAAAAAAGAAGTTAAAATTTTCCTAACTTTGACCTAACAAAAATAAGTGTGAGATGTTCATAGCCTGTCAGACAGTCCATCTTTTTATTTCTTAAATATTCATAAACAAGAGAAAATATACACTTTTGACTTTTTTAAAGTTTATTTGGATCGATATAATGCAGGGCTGCCTAGCATGCCCTCAAGAAAATAGAGGTAACTTGAACTTCCCTTGTTAGTTCATCTCAAGTCCTTCATGATTCTCACATTAGAGTTTGATATTAGAATCGTTTTCAGAGCTTGACAAAGGCATGCAACTCACATGTTCTTTACCAGCAAAGTTTGCAGGCAACCCTGCAAAAAGTTGTTTCTCCTTTGAGCTCTCACACATATTCACTTCCCTCCTAGAACCAAGGATATAAGGAAGAATGGCTCCATTTCATAGCCTTTTTTGCCCTTAGAAAGAAAATCCAACTCCCCAGATATTTTTCAAACTCTACCACAAACAGAACATTCTTAACTCTGCCTGTGGATCATTATCTCTTTTTCATTTCATCTTTATATTCACTGGGTTCACAGAAAGGACATACACAGAAAGAGGAAAATAGCTGCTTCTTAAACACCAAATTTAGTAATTCTCTCAAAATCTACTGGCACACATCTAAAAAGTCGTATTTTTATAAGGCTTCATTAGGTTTTCATTGGTTCTGTCTTTTAAGAACACACATACTGTATCGCCCATAACCTCAAGCCAAAATACATCTGCAAACTACAAGAAATGTTTTTTATAGGAAGACGAGTCATCACAATTTTTTTAAAAGGGGGATATAGTAAGCAAAGACAGACAGATGTGAGCTCATCTGGCTCCCACTGTCGTGTCTCCCAAACATCAAGTTGCTGGTTGATGGAGGCCATCAATCTATGGTGCTCTAAGATTCCAGCTGACTCTAATAGCCTTACCTGTTAATATGAGATTACTGTAAGTATTGGAAAATTGTTCCTTTAGAAGAACCAGATGCATCTGAGCTGCCTTCTCCCGTTGGAGCTCCAGCATAACATCAGGGTGCTGGGCAATCTTGCAGCCTTTCTGTTTATCCAAGGCAACATCACTTCGAACAATGTCTATAATAAGAAAGAAAAAAGGCAGGCAGCACAACTGAAATGCAAAAAGAACATTTAAAAAAAGAAACAAACAAAACCACACACACATCAAAATTCTGTTTCATCCCCAAACAACAATTTATAAACTACCCATATTTTAATGAGAATGAAGAAATTCAAAAGTCATAAACCTAAGGGTCTCCAACTTCATGATACAACCTGCAAGTTTCTCTCATCATTTCCAAATTCTTCAAAGATGTTTTGTTTCTTATCTCTCTCTGACTTCATTTACGATTCTTACTACTTCATTCCCTTCTAAACTCACCTCTAGTACTTATTTACCTTCTGTGGCCTTTTTTAACATCCTTTTAGCATTCGCCATGGAGAAAAGCAATACAACTTTGTCTGAATACTAGTGACTATGAACGTCATTTCATCTACTTCATGCCATTGGGCCAGGTGACAGATCCAGCATGTCTATTCAGGATGTTTGGCCTGTTTTCAAATTTACCTCCCAGCCAGCCAACTCATCTAAAACTAGGGCTGCTATTCTATGGGTTAGTTGCTCAGAATTTCTCCTGCTATTTTTTCATATGTTTCTGGCTACATTCTGACTCAGTAACCACTCTATATCTAGAAGTATTTTGTGAGCCATTAAAGAAGCAAGATTAGAGCTAGAGTCACTTTTCATATCTTCCTCTTTCCCAATTATTTTCCCCTTAGTGATAGGCTGTTTTTTAATACTTTTCATGCAGTATGATTTCCACTCAAAGAAGTCTCCAGAAAACAGCCTTCCTAAAAAACATTCACCTAGAATGCATCCCAATTACCAGGGAGCTTACCTGCCCTAAAGTTGTTTGTTTTATTTTTACAAATTAAAATAGAATTCAGCTGATTATCATAGAGACAAATACTATCAACAGCAATTGGATGATGACTCTAGAACTTTCAAGTTTTACAAAGCAAACTAAAGGATTTCAGGAGAAAATGGCAAAAAGTAACTGATCTGCCATTGTTGACACCAATGGCTTTGGAAGGGGGAAAAATGAATATCCATGTTGATGATACCAGTAGAATGATTTGGCTCTTTAAGCAATGCTCAGTGACAATTAAGAAAAAATTGGGCATGTGGCCATAAAGGCTGGAACATTGTTGTGGACAAATAATCTTCAAATCCACGAATAAAACCCTAAAAGAGAAGCCCAGATAGAAATAACAACCCATGACACTGAGAGTTATAATGTGTGGTACACAAATACTAGCCAGATGTAGGAATGGATCTCACTCACTCTTATGTGAAAAAAAGGGGAGCTGGTTGGAAATAATGCAATATTTATGCCTAATCATATTTGTACCAAGTTCTTGAATGTGGGCAATAAAGTGAACTTATTCAACATTCAAGTAACTAATCTCACAGATGTTTTTGAGGCTTGAATACAAAATTAGAGTAAATTAATTCAAGGATATACTCTAGTTTTCAAGGCCAACAATAGCAAGAGGAATGATAATAGTTTACACTTATTTAAATTGCACTCTATTAGCCCTGGCTGAAGTGGCTCAGGGAATTGAGCACTGGCCTGTAGACCAAAGGGTCACTGGTTTGATTCCCAGTGTAGGGCATATGCCTGGATTATGGGCCAGGTCCCTGGTAGAGGGTGTGCAAGATGCAACCACACACTGATGTCTCTCTCCCTTTCTTTCTCCCTCCCTTCCCCTCTCTAAAAATAAATAAATAAATAAAACCTTTTTTAATTACACTCTATTAATTTTTAATTAGACTGCATCACTGAATCCTTCAAACGATCCTATGAAATTACGTGGCAGATATTGTTGACTTGCTGACACAAACCTAAATATGTCCCCTTATCTTTTGCCTTCCATTACTGTAGATACTGAAAAGCTAAAATATAAAATTTCCCAGCTTTCCTCGAAGCAAGGGGTAGCCCTGTAACATGGTTCTGGCCAATAAGTTGCAGGCAGACATCCCTGGGGGGGGGGGGCGGTCCTTTGTCAAACTAAAAGACAAAACCTCACACTAAGAGAAATCAGGCATGTCTTTTTTTTCTTTCATCCTTTTAGTCCTTTCTATTCTTTATGTCTGAAACATAGACATGAGGCCTGGAGTTACAGTAGCCATTTTGTTTCAATGAGTCAAGAAGCAAGAGGGCAAATGACTCCACACAAAGGATAGTGAACAGAAAGGTGGGATGAGCCTAATTCCCCAATGTCTTTATTGAGCTATCATACCTACCATACTTGTTCTAAACTGCCCAATTCTCAATTTCTTGTTATGTAAGATAAAGGCAGTATTTGTATAAACCATAAACAGTCAGTTACCTATTTTTTAAATTATATGTTTTTTAATCTTAAGTGATAAGGAATAATATGATTATCCCTACTGTATATATGAGGAAACTGAGGTCCACAAAGCTGAAGCAGACCTCAGGTTCACAAAGCATGGTCAGTTCCCAAATCCAGGAATTTTCAAAGCCAAATCCAATGATCTTTTCAGGAGTTACTCCTATATGGAAACTCATGAACTTATTAGTAAAGTACAATAGGCAATAAAAGTGAGGAACAAAAAAGAAAAATCTAACTATACTATTCCAGTAGCATGCTGGAATAGTGTAGTTATCCAGAAAAGAAATATAAATATGTCCACAGAAAATATTACAAAACTTGTTTTTTTAAAAAATGAAACTTCAATTACTCCAATATCTTCTGATAGAAGTCTAATACAAAGAGCAGAACATCTACGAAAGTCTTTAATTCCTATCCAATAAACTTATTGCTCAGAAGGGAGAGAAAGCCTGATATTCTCAAGATCTTCAATGAGAACTCTGAAATACAGTGACCATATTATCTTAATATTAATAATACTAAGAAAAGAAAATCACATGCATGGCCAAACATATGTCCTAGACTTTAAAAAGGTACATTTCAACAATGGGGAAAAATAGATATGCTATTTTTTTATTCATCCTTAATTTGTTTGGCATTGTATCAAAGACTTATCAGAAAGCAAGAATACTAATTAAAGGTGCACATGTCCCTGGCTGGTGTGGTTCAGTTGGTTGGAGCATAATTCCATAACCAAAAGGTTGCAGATTCAATTCCTGGTCAAGACACATATCTATACTGAGGGTTCAACCTCCAGTCCAACATACAATCTGCCTTCCTGGCACATACCAGAGCCAACCGATCAATGCTTCTCTATTGCATCAATGTTTCTCTCTTTCCTTTCTTCTCTCCCTCCCTCTCTCTTTTCCTTTCTCCCTTCCTCTCTTTCTAAAAGCAATGAAAAAAGGCCTTCAGTAAGGGTAAAAAAATTAAAAGGTGCACATGGTCATATATCTGAAGGAAGAGTTAGCATCACACATGATAGGATTGAAATGCAAACTTATTTTGGCAACCTAGAAACTTAGGATGAAATCCCCAACATGTAGTTAAGACATGAACACAAAGTCCTGCATTTATACTGAAAATTAATTACATAAGATAATATGGGAAGGCCAGACCAAATGGAAGCTCAAATATTAAAGATCTTATTAAGATCTGTAGATTTTAGTTAAATGCAAGCTTAATACAGGCCAAATATGAAATTGTTACCAAAAAGATTGATGCAGTCTTAGACTAAATTAATAGAACCACAGCATCCAGAATTCATGAAGTAACACAGCCACACTGCTTTCCACGCCAACCAAGAGCAGCAGAGTGAAGAGCTGGAGTTAGGCAGACCACAGTTCAAATTGTGATTTGCTGTTTATTTATTAGTTGCAGAAGTGACCAACAAAAATATCTATATAAGCCTTAATTTTTTCATCTATTGTTATTGTAAAGAGACTTATGGTATATAAGACTTAGCACTATGCATGCTACTTAATAAGATTTCTATAAAAGGTAACTATTATGATTTTTGTTTTAGTATCCAACTTGTGGTATTATATTTATTTCCAGTTGTTAGTAGTCTCAGCAGAATACTAATCATCTAGATAGCATCCAAAGAAAAGCAACAAGATGACAATTTTATTTTTTAATGGCTGAAAAAATTAAGAGTGTTAAACCTGGTAAAGAAAATACAAGAGAGGACTTCCACCAAGATGAAGGCGTAGGTGGAAGCACTATACCTTCCCGCACAACCAAGTTTAAAGACAATAAAGTTTTAGCAACAAAAATGCAGCCAAACCACAGAAAATTGAACTATACGGAAGTCTGACAACAACGAAACCTTCAGCCAAACTGGTAAGAGGGGCAGAGCCAGCAGCAGAGCAGGGTCGGGCAGGAAAGATCCACCGGACCGACCCAGGCACGAGACCCAGGTGCGCAGGCAGCCGTGGGTAGAACCCCGGTGTGGAGTAGCAGGCGGACCCACTGAGGGCTGACCACGGTCACACATTCGTGTGCAGATAAACCGGTGAAGGAGCGAGCAGTGAGACAGACCCTGCAGGCCCCAGTGGCATGAAGTGGCAGATGGGACCGCTATTGTCCCTCTCTGACCCCGCCCCCACATGCAGCATCACAAACCAGCGACCTGGGTGGCTCCTCTCTGACCACACCCCCACATACAGCATCACAAAACAGCGAACTGGGTGGCCCCGCCCTAGTGAACATCTAAGGCTCCGCTCCTCATACCTAATAGGCACAGACAGACCAAAACATGGCTCAAGAACAACTCAGAGCCCCAGAGCCTATAAATCTAAGCGATGAAGAAATAGCAAAACTTTCAGATGCACAGTTCAAAACACTGGTGATCAAGATGCTCACAGAACTGGTTGATTTTAGTCACAAATTAGAGGAACATATGAAGGCGAAACTAACTGAAATGAATGGAAATGCACAGGAAACCAATAGTGATGGAAAGGAAACTGGGACTCAAATCAATGGAGTGGACCAGAAAGAGGAAAAACATGACCAAACAGAAAAGGATAAAGAAACAAGAATTCAAAAAAATGAGGAGAGGCTTAGGAACCTTCAGGATATCTTTAAACGCTCCAACATCCAAATTATAGGGGTACCAGAAG